TGTCTTTTCTGTCTGCTTTGCTTTTGTTTCATTTCATCTTTTATTGCTGTTGCTTTGAGTTAGAGTCTCATTATGTAGCCCAGGATAGCTTCAAACATTGAATATAGCCTATGCTAGACTAGAATTTGTAACCCTCCTGCCTTGGACTCTAGAGTTCTGAAATAGAAGTCATGCACCACCAGGCTCGGCCATCCTTTATTTTTATTTTTATTTTTTCAATGGGGCTCAGTTATATAGTTTTACATTCTTGGATATTATGTTTCAACTATGAGTTTCAACTATGAGTCCTAGTATACAATAAAATTACCTCTTTAATCTTATCAAGCAAAGAGATCTTGCTCAAAGAAAATATCTGAAAGTGAGTCTAAAATCAGCCTTGCCTGGAGTTGTGTTCTGGGAAATGGAAAGCTAGGATCAGAGAGGTCTTTGTTTTTAGTTCTCAAACTTTAGTGGACAAGACAAATTATTGCCCAAGGAGTCAGAAAAGGAGAGATGGCTTAGCAGTTAAGAGCCAGGCACGGTGCTGCACAGCTGAAATACTAGCGCTTGGGGAGATTATCTCTGAGTTTGAGGCCAGCCTGGCCTACAAAGTGAGTCTACTATAGCCAACGCTACACAGAGAAACCCTGTGTTCTGGGGTTGGGGGGGAGGAGAACACTGGCTGTTCTTCCAGGGGACCCTTGTTCAATTGTAAGCTTAAAACTGCCCATAACTCGAGTTCCCAGGCATTTAACACCTCCTCTGGCTTCTTTGTCAAGCTGGGAATATGATAATAATTTTTTTAATAATTTTAATAATTATATATATATATATATATATATATATATATATATAAATGTAAACTAGCCATATACAGAAGATAAAATATGTAAGTCTATAAAACAGAATCATCCACAGAGTGAAGTTAAATCTTGCTTGTGAAAGCCAGGTTCTTCTGGTAGAGTCAGTCTGTCAGATGTAATAACGTAAACCAAGCATGGTTAGAATACAGGAATTCTGTTACTTGGCTTGGACAGCAACTCCTGTCATTAGCTGAAATGTCTCGTCACCTGTTTTGACTATACAGATTGCAAATACAGAATTTTTGTGTGATTTCAAGAGATTTGAGTCTCTTTGTGACCAGTGCACTTAAATACACTTGGTAATGCTTTCTTTTTTTTTTCTGCATTTATTTATTTATTTACTTATTTATTTAGTATTATAATTTATTCACTTTGCATCCCAGCTGTAGCCCCCTCCCTCATCTCCTCCCAGTCCTACCCACCATCCCTCTTCTCCTCCCCCATTCCCCTTCCTTAATCCATTGATAGGGTAAGTCCTCCTCCTCGCCTACTATCTGACTCTACCCTATCAGGTCTCATCAGGACTGGCTGCATCCTCTTCCTCTGTGGTCTGGCAAGGTTTCAACCCCACCACCAGGAGGAGGTGATCAAAGAACCTGCCACTGAGTCAGCCCCTACTCCCCTTACTAGGGAACCCACATGTAGACTGAGCTGCCTTTGGTCTACATCTAAACAGGGGGTCTAGGTCCCCTCCATGCATAGTCCTTGGTTGAAGCATCGTCTCTGCAGGATCCCCTGAGGCCAGATTTTTTTGGCTCTGTTGGTGTCCTTTTAGAGCTCCTATGCCACTCCAGGTCTTTCTATCTCCCCTTTCTTCTATAAGATTCCCTGTACTCTGCCAAATTTTGGCTATGATTCTTTTTTTAATAATTTTTTAATTCTTTATTAATTACACTTTATTCACTTTGTATCCCCCCCCTGTGGTTCCCTCCCTCCTCCTGTCTCAATCCCTCCCTTTCTCCACCCTCTGCATGCATGCCCCTCTCCAAGTCCACTAATAGGGGAGGACTTCTTTTCCTTCCTTGTGATCCTAGTCAATTAGGTCTCATCAGGAGTGGCTGCGTTGTCTTCTTCTGTGGCCTGGTAATGCTTCTTCCCCCTCAGGGGGGAGTAATTAAAAAGCAGGCCAATCAGTTCATGTCAGAGACAGTCCCTATTCCTATTACAATGGAACCCACTTGGATACTGAGCTGCCATGGGCTACATCTGTGCAGGGGTCTTAGGTTATCTTCATGCATAGTCCTTGGTTGGAGTATCAGTCTCAGGAAAGACCCCTCTGCTCAGATTTTTTTTTTTTTTTTTTTTTTTTGGTTCTGTTGCGCTCCTTGTGAGCAACAGAACCAAAAATTTGGCTATGATTCTAAACATCTGCTTTGGTAATGCTTTCTAAGAGCCCCTTTGTTGTTTCACAAAGCTGGCCGGCCCCTCACAGTTTGGTTGAAACAAAACACCCCTTTTGTTCCTCAAACACATTGATGACCAAGGTATAAAGGTATAAAAGCTAAGATATCTGCTTTCTACATATGGGCTAAGAAGAATTATCAAATCCCTCCCTGTATATCTATGAAACCAAATAGTGCACACATTAAACACTCTGCATTGCCTTAAATGAGTACTGAAATATGGTTCCCTTTATGCTAATGTTCAATTCCAGGCAGTGAACTTTGTTAACTAAGAGAAAATAAAACTTTAGATGGAATGTGTTATTTATAGTGAATGCAAAGCATCATTATTATCAATTCTTATTACAAAATATACAGAAAAAATATCCTTTTTGTTATTTAAATGTGGCTTGGCTACATTGAGAAATAGTACAGATGTTAATCCACAGCCTCCCAGCTGCATCCTGGGTAATCATTATTATGGTTTATTCCTATTTGGAATTACTGGTAATAGACTGTATATTTTTGTGTGAAATTCAAATCAGGGAGCACCGATGAATTGAGATGATTGATATTATATATACACACACATAATTTTGGAATTGGGGACAACAATAGAAATATTTCTCTCTTAGAGAAAATCTACCACACTAGCTGATGTCTATGATCTTGTTAAAGAATGCTTTTCATCAAAATAGATGTGCCAAACATTTACTGAATTCTTCATAGTTTGAATAAGTTGACCCTTGACAAGTAATCTAAATTTGTTTTGAAAATATCTATGCAATTGTTGAAAATCTGGAGCATAAATATCTGGATACCAAAATATATGGCTTTACTGCACAAGAGTTTAAAATTTCATGATTGTATGCTTTTATTTTGCGTTTTTGTTTTCTTGGATAGCTCCTGTATTCTCTGGTTAATTTTCTTATTGATGAAATTTTACAACTATAATCAGGAGAAAAGAAAATGGGGCCAAAATAATATATAATATTGTTGAAATATACATTTATATATAAATGTGTATTTAAGAGAAAACATTCTCATTTGTAATCAGCCCAAAATGATTGGCCTATTCTAGCGTCATTATTGTGTAGCAAGCTAAGACACTTGTGAGACTGTTGTTTTCCAGAGGTCCTAAAGTTAGGAGATAAACAAGGTGTTAAATGATAGTTCATGGTTCATGAATCCTCAAGCTACGTCTTCTCACATCAAAGTCATATGTGGTCCTTACATCTCTGGAATAAACTAGAATTCCATTCAGTCATCTTGTGCCCTTTATTTTCCTTATGTCCCAATGTTAACATGAAGCTTTATATTTTCATATCTGAGTTAAAAATAAATGATCTTGACAGATTTTACTTAATCTCCAAACCAACTTGATTTATGTTCCTCTGTCCCAAATTACCTGAATGAGTTCTGGCTAGAATTATCACCCATCAGTAAAAAAAAATGTTTATAAAGGTTTTCCAGACTAGCAATTACAATTACACACTTTAAGACAATAATGCCTAAAGGTGAACTTGACTCTCAATAGCGTGGAAGTAATCTTTATCATGTCATCTTATAGGCAGTGGTGCTTCTGTCTCACAATTTGTTAAAAAATGCCAAAATAAGCTAATTAAATACTTTAAAATTAAAAAAAAATCATTTTAAATAGGGCATGTTCTTATGGACAACTGTACTTACCATTACATAGGGAGTTAAAATGGGTAAGATGCATCATTCTCTTAATAAACTCATGATTCAAAGAAGGAAAAAGAAAGGCACGAATGCCTTGATAGAAAAAGAGAGGCATATTAGGGGAAAATCATCTTTAAAATCATATGGTTGAAAACATAAGATAAAGGCGTAAAAACCTTCTAGGAGAAAGGATAGAAACTAGACATGATTTTTGAAGAATGAAAATCCTATGAATTTTCCATAGACATAGGTAATGAGATGTCTTTGAATAATGTTTGTATGTGTATATTCTAAAAAGATACTCTACCCAGATACTTAAATTAGAGTTTGTAGCTTATTTTTTGAGCTTTGTTCCTATTCACTGACAAAATGAATGCCACACGTGTAGTTTCTCTTCTCAAAAACAAGATTTAGAAATGCATGGCTGTTTGCCTTTGCTGGGTATCCAAGCACATGATCAGTTGGCTTAAAACTGCTACTTTGCTGTAGATAATTTTAGGAATCAGAACTACAGGTTTTTCTTTATTTGCCTGCATAACCATTTTAATTAGTCTTTCTCTCTCTTTCTCTGTGTGTGTGTATGTTTGTGCATGCACAAGTGCTCACAAGTGCTGAGTATAAAGCTGTTCCTTATTATTAGCATTTTATTATTTCAAAAATTCATTGTTGCTTGTTTCCAATTACAGTCTTTAATTACAAAGGGAGAAACTCTTAACTTTATGGCATTACATGGCTTTCCAAAATGACAGAAGCACAAAAGAGATGTAAGAAGCGCAAAATGGGAACAAAATAGAAGGTTGGGCTGAAGCAGATGAAACAATAAGCCAGAAAAGAAAGTAGGGGATATGCCAGGCAGCCCATGTCTGGAAGCTGGTACTGAAAGAAATGATAAACATGTGACAGGGGAGGCCTATCTTAGCTTCACAAATACTGAGAGGAGGTTAAGCTTCAACGGAAAATGTCATCTTGAAGCTGAGACAGAATCTTGGCCATTGCTGTTTTGTGTCTGTTAATTTTTCTCATTGTAGTATTGATTCTGGCTGTTGCTCCGATTGGAAAGGTGGCGTTCAATGTGGACCTTTTTCTCTTTCAGATGACTACACACTGCATGGCCCAATTTTTGTTCAAGAACCAAGTCACATAATGTTTCCTTTGGATTCTGAGGAGAAAAGAGTGAAAATCAGTTGTGAAGTTAAAGGGAATCCAAAGCCTCACATCAGGTTTGTTGATTTAAGAATGTGTTTCCAGCCTGGCATGATGGCACATGCCTTTAATCATAGCATTGGAAAGGAAGAGGCAGGTGATTCCAGGTGAATCCCAGGCCAGCCTGGTCTACATAGTGAGTTCCAGGCAACCAGGTGACGTAGTGAGATCCTGGTTCCACAAAACCTGTTTTAATGTGTATAGTTTATATCATTAAAATTAAAATTGGCAACTATTTACAGAGTAATGTAGAAGAAAGAGTATCTAGTCAGACATTGTAAGATATGCTGAGAAACATTAGAAAATAATTCTTTCATGAAAAAAAGTGTCAAGCTTCTGCTTCTGGCAGTATTAGGAATTACTATCCTGAATATCTTTTCCTTTGAAAACATTAACAATTCTTAATAACATAGTTTTAATAAAAATATAATTTTTAATAAATATTTTGTCAGTAAGCCAGCAGGAAAATAGGAAGTATAGAGCTGTAAGAACAAATGGATTTAGAACAAACAGGAGTCATCACTTTGACATGTTCTGAGACTGTTTCATGCAAACCTCACAAGGAACAGAGTTTTAAGACAAAGCCTAGATTTACAGGAGCTTGTAACAAGAGAACATTTTCCTAAAAGAAACCAGAGATACAAGCTCTCCACATTTAGAATAGATGCTAACCAAAACTCATCTTGTCTGTTTCAGGAACAGTAAAGTGCAAGTAATCAGTTATTTTAGACTGTGAGTCTCAGTAATTTTCATAAGAAATGAGATGAGTCTATAAAGAGAATTGTCAAGCTGGGTAACAGACCCAATGTAATCATCTCAAGGCAACAGAAAGAGGTCAAGTAAAGCAAAATTTGGAGAGTAAGTCATAGGGTGAGAGAGAGAGAATGAGAATGTAGCTTGGTCAGAGTCAGCCTTCATGACTTTCAGGATGAAAGATGGAAGAGAATGAGGCAAAAACAACCATTAGAGAGAATTTTCAGGATTCCCAACACTAAATAAACCATCCAGTGCAGCGTTAGGAAGCCTAACACAATTCTAAACAGTACAAATAAAACTGAAATATCATTTAGAACACTGAACCTGTAGAATCCCGGATCAAAGAAATGGCCATAAAGGAGCCAAACTTCTAATAAAGATATTTTTAATGAGGTAAAAGTTAAACTGACAATGGTCTCCTCAATATCAACAAAAAAGAAAACAAAAATTCAACATTTATAAAAAAAATTAACCATTAACATAAGTTAGCAGAAAAGGAGAACATATAGGGGCTATTTTCAGAAAGGCAAAAGAGTGTTTCTTACGAGTGAGGGTAAGAAAGAGAATTCTTAACTGCTTGTTAGTAGGAATATGAAGTAGATGGTTCTTCATAAAACTAAGAATTATCTATTCCATACTGTTCTAGTTTGCCTTCATGTTGTATGATAAAATCCTGGACAAAAGCCAGTTCAGGGAGGAAAGGGTTTATTTGACTTACAGGTGACAGCCTGTCATTAAGGGAAGACAAAAGGGGAACTCAGGCAGGAATCTGGATGAAAGAACTAACCAGAGGCCACCAAGGGATGCTGCTTGTGGGCTTTGTTCCCCACGGCTTGCTTAGCTACCTTTCTTGTACAACCCAGGACCACTTGTTGCAGGGGTTATACTGCCTATCGGGGGCTGGGCGCTTCTACAGCAATAGGAGTAATTATGAAAATACTCCAGTAGACATGTCTACACACCAGTCTGATGAAGGCAATTCCTCAGTTCACGTTCTCTTTGCACAAGTGGCCCTGGTTTGTGTCAAATTTTTGAAAACCAAGCCACTTAAATATTAGCAAACACCCTCCCCCCCAAAAAAATTGAATCCTTCTTTAAAAGGGATACCTGGGCTTCCATGTTTATTAAGTCACTAAACACAATGACAACAATGTAGAATAAACTGAGGGATACATCGACAAATGAAAGGATGAAGAAAAGGTGGCTCATACAGAATGGAAGATTACTCAGTCACAAAAAGAATGAACTCCTGCTCTGTTATTCTCATATTGTGGATGGCACTACAGGACATTAGGTTGAGTGAAATAAGCCAGACATAGAATGACCCTTCATGTTCTTACCTCTCTGTAGAAGCCAAAGTATTAATCTGATAGAAATATAGAGTAGAAGATCAGTTTTCAGAAGACATGAGGAAGAGGGGAGTGGGAATAGAAAAAAGCTGGAAAATGTGAACCAAAATACAGAAATCAAGTCTAACCTGTACCTTTCTTTATCACAGTTAGATTATGATAATTTATCATGTATTTGAAAATAACTGGAAGCCAGGGTTGGTGGCTCATGCCTTTAATCCCAGCATTCAGGGAGGCAGAGGAAGGCAGATTGCTGTGAATTCGAGACTGGTCTGGTCTACAAAGTGAGTCCATGACAGCCAAGGATACATAGAGAAACCCTGATAAAAAAGAAAAAGGAAGAAAGGAAGAAAGGAAGAAAGGAAGAAAGAAAGAAAGAAAGAAAGAAAGAAAGAAAGAAAGAAAGAAAGAAAGAAAGAAAAAGAAAGACTAGCAAAAGGAATATAGCTTAGGTTTATGGTAGTTTACAAGGCTTTAGATTCAATCCAACCACTTGGGATGACAAAATTAGCCAAGACTAAACAAATTCTACCTTCCTTTCCTTTCTTTGGTCTGGAATGTAGTTCAGTGTGTATGAAGCTCTGACTATGATTCCCAGAACCCACAGAACCAAGGCATTGTGGTACTTACCTGTAAGGCCACCATTTAGGAGCTGTTACTTAGGAAAAAGAAGCAAAATTTAAAAGTTCAAGTTTTTCCTCAAATACCTAAGGAGTCTGAGGTCAGCCTAGTGTGTATGAGGCCCTGTATGAAATATAAATGAATTAGTGTAATAACAAAAAATTTAATTAAAAGTGTTAGAATAAAATAGTAAATAAATAAAAGCCTAGTTTTAACATTGTAAGCACAAACAACAGCAAAGCACCCTAATTTGATATTGTGTCTTGTATATATGTCAAGGTTTCACATTATACCTTATAAATATGTGCAAATTTAGAAATTTCTACAAAAGAGGACAGAATACTCATGTCTGTAGGCAGACACACACTGAATTTTGATTTCTACAGACTCTCACTAAAGGGAATTCTAAAACACAGCTTTCAGATGGGATAAGAATGGTCCCAGAGAGCAAACCTGAGCTATGAGGAGAATTAAACAATGTAATATATCAATAATTCCACATAAAATTGATCGTACTAAACATGGATAATAAAGAAAATACATTTTTCTGAAAATCAAAAGAAGAAAAGTTAAAAATCCATAACAGTGATAAAAGTACTTTACAAAGTCTTGCCCTGGACAATGGATTGTCCATGTGGTTAAAAAAGAAAACTGATTCACTATTTCACTTAACACACAGAAATCTATTTCAGGTTAATAAAAGCCCTAAATGGAACATTTTAAAAGAAGGAAGAAAACAGGCATGCATATTTATGACTTTGGGGAGGAAAAAGTTTTTGTATGACCAGAAAAAGATTTTGTTTCAGTTCACAGTTCAAGGATGGGAAATCACAGTAGCAGCTTGAAGCAATTGGTTAAATAACACCAAGGAAAAGAGCAGTGGATGCTTATGCTCGCCCCACTATAGTCTTGAGACAGTGTCTACCACAGGGCAATTTTATTGCCTGCTTCTCAGAAATTGAATAAAGGGCATAGGGGCCTTTAGTTCTGTTAATTTTCATAAGCCTTTTGTTCAAATAGGCCATGTTAGCATACTCTTGCATGATATATTCGGAACCACCAATGACAAACAATCACTTACTTGGTGAGAATGAAATTGAAGATCATTCACAGAAAAACGTCTGTTTCCAATCAAAATAAACACAAGAGTCCTCAATAGTAAATACTATTCACTTTATTAAACATGTTTTCATTGTTTCGTGATCCCTTACAACACATATCCTATGTAAGTTATGTTGTCTATATTAAAATTTAATGATAACAAAGTTACTTCAAGAGTGAATAAAATACATTGATACCACCCTTCTGGGCTCAGGGAACATTGGGGAACAGAGTTCAGAGAAATATCTGTCTTCCTAGCATGGCATGGCTGAGACCCTCATGATTGCACAGTAGCAGTGGTTACCAGGTTACTGAGGGAAAAATAAAACACAAAAACAAAAATTCTTAATTTAGAGGTAGGGGGTAGGTGTGGTGAAGGCTTCAAAGGAAGGGAGATATTGTAGGTTTTTGAGAAAGGCCACCTGCTCTGCCACATAAAGAAAGAGCATCCCAGAAAGAAAAGAACAACTAATTACAGTGGGCTCGATAATTGAGTGAGCACGCCATTTATCATTTGACACAGGTATTTTTGAAAGTGTTCTTACACTGTTCATAATTACTGTAGAGCGTCATCTGTAAACCCTATGCTGCCCTGACTAAAGCAGAATGCATCGTTTCTGTGTGGATAATAGCGTAAACTCAAGCTAATGATTTGAAAACATACTGCATGGTAAAAACAAATACAAGAGGCAAAGTTGCTCAGATACATACCTGAGGAGTTAGAGGATCCCACTTTGAGTACACAGCCAAGGGTAAGTTCAGTTGTTAGCTATAAATGAAAACAAATTTTGCAGCACATTTTGGCAAGTTGCTGCATTGTTTTTCCCCAAACTGTGACCTTTAATTAACATTGCCTGTGTAACACTGTGTTTCTAGATATAGGGGCTTGCCTTGTTATTTAAAACAAGCCATAGAACAGAAACCTATTATGTTTTTAAAGATTGTAGGGAAAAGCTGAGGAGAGCTTTTTAATCAAATGCATTAGCAATTCCAGGCAGTGCACAGAGCTTGCCTTTATCCCTCTAGCAGTTTTCTTGTGGCATAATAGCAGTCTGGACCTGGGAGCTTAAAAACTCCCTGTTGTTGAAGGAAAAGAGCAAGAAAATGAATAGAGAGATCAGATGTTTTCTAAGGCCTTGCTAGCTGAATGTCTTGGTGTTGACTTTCAGGGGGTTGAACAAGTAGGAAAAATTCGAGAGTGAGTGCTCTGTGGGGATCTTCAACTACAGGTTTTTCCTAGGACACCCTAACTGACCTCTTTTCTTTACATTTATTCCTTCAACTGAGCCATTGTTTCTGCCCCTCAATTTTGAAAGGATTGACCCCGACCCAGAAAATTTAAGAAGTTTTGCCTCATGCCAACTTTTCTTGTATTACAGTTCTCTAAGGACAGGTGACATAACTTATCTCACCCAGCATCCCTTCCCAGGTGGAAGAAGCCTTCAAGCCCCTGGTTAGAGTTGGTTTGCTGTGAAGTTTGTATTCCACTGAGTCTGAAGAGAACAAATCCCAAGTCAGAAAGGACCTGCCCCTCCCTGACCGTCTAGTTCAAACAGTTAACAGAGAAGGTTTCTCTGCAGTGACTCTGAACCCCAACTTCATAGAAGTGTATGGAACCATGCCTCGTGGAGGTTCAAGGTGGCAGTGTTTGCCTGTGTACAGCCCTGCTCTCTGGAGAAAATTCAACTGTGCTTCCCACCAAGTAATTCAGCTTACAAGACGCTAATTTGCCTTGCCCCCTGGGAAAATCTCTTATTTACTCCAAATGAGCCTTGCCTCTCCATTACTAATACTTAAAAGATTCCTCAAACACTGAAAGTAAATTGTGAGGATTTTCAAGAGTGTTTCAGTACGCAGTGAGATAGGAAATCCGCTATGCAATCCACATTCAATTGGAATGAACACTGACTGCATAGCAGTAAAACGCCATGTCGTGCTTTATAACACAGACCTGACTGCATGTCTCATAAAGCACTTTATTTTCTAAGTAATCCCATCCCTGTTGCTGTTTGTATGTAAAAGCAGGCAATAAAGTAGATGAACGGACTTTGTGCACAGCATTTTTGGGCTGAAGTGACGAGTACAGACAAACCTACAGAGGTGTCATTATTCCCACAGCCAGCCTTCTAAAAAGACTCACATGGTCCCATTCCCAAATTCCACATTCGGCTTGCAGCTCACATTATATTGCAATTTCCTCTTTGAGTTCTTAGATTTGTCATATTAAATTGCTCTACTATCATTTGAACTGAGAGTTATGGCCAAGACGTGATCAGCTGACTAAAAGCAAATGTGTAGGGCAAGCAGTCAGTTCTAGAGATTCATGCTCAGCCAGCACTGCTGGGATATAGCTGGGCTGTTCTCTTTATTGCTTATTACTTTCTTGTCTGTGTCAGAACGCAGAGAGAATTACTGCAGAGCCTAAAAACACTGTCAGTTTCTAATATCCCACTTCTTATAAACAAACACATAAAGAGCTAAGTCCTATTTCTGCTTCTAGCCTACTTTCCTGGCCTTCACGTTTCTAGATTTTTACACTTCAAAGACACAGATGTGAATAAACTCATGCCACTGTGCTGGGTGCAGAAAGTGTGGTTCATGAATTGTGTATATGTTCAAAGCTCAAATATACACCAGAGAAACACAATATTGAATGCGTGAAATTCAACAAGTGTTTATTGAACACAGTAAGAGGGCTAAGTTCTAGATGGATGAAAGTGGGAATACAAAAGTAATTTAGGTAAATTGTCTTGTGGCAAAAGCAGTCTTTGCATGAGGAGTAGGTGGATTTCCACAAGACATCTGAGGAAATATGATTCATTTTGACTAGAAATATGGGCAAGGATTTCTTTGGAAGATGTGCTTGTACGCCCTCCATTTCAAGAAAGAATCTCCCTGTTTAACCCTATCCAGCCTGAAGCTCACGATGTAGACTAGCCTGGCTTCCAACTCACATGGGTCTGCCTGCCTCTGCCTGGCTGGTGCTAAGTTTAAAGGCAGTGGGCACACCAGAGATTGCGTCCTGTGAGATGGTGACAGATGTACTGGTTCAAGTCCGTATTCCCAGCACATGAGAGATGGAGGAAGAAGGATCAGAAGTTCGGCGTTATCTCAATACCAATTACAAGGGAGAATGAGGCCAGCCTAAGCTGAATGAGAGCGTGTCTCTGAAAGACACTCGTGCATACACACATGCATGCGGTCCTGCATGTAATTGGAAGTGAACAGGCTGACAGTTTTGTCATTTAAATTCTTTTGCATTATGTATTCAAAACCACAGTTCTCTGGGTCCTTCCAAAGGATTGCGCAATGGGTGGGCATACACATGCGTGCTTCTATTTGGGTAATGGCTCTTGTAATTTTAAGAAAGTAAAATGAATAATTCTCAATTTCTACTTGCTTTGTTAAATCAATTTCCTTTGTGCTACAACCTCTTCATATATTTTCAGCACCTATGAGTGTCTTGGTAATTCATCAGCTATCAAAAAGCAGTCATTGAATTATATTAGTTCAAAAGTTGATATGGATTCCTATGAATTCCTGAAAGGTGATTTGACTCAGATAAAGATCTCATTCTTTAGGTGTTAGTGATTCTGAGAGCAGAAATGCAGATCTTTGCACCAAAGCTAAGCTACTGAAATATGAGTCTTCATAAAGCTAATTTATTGGGCTCATTGCTACAGTCAGACTCACAGGTGACCCAAGTAAATGAACAGAAGGACAAGAAAACAGTCTTAGCTCTGGTTACTTAATAGCCTGTAGTTCACTGGGGCAGTTGATTGACATTTTGAGTGCCAGTGGCTAAAGAGATCATCCAGTTGATCCATGGTCAGGCAGATTTGGTCCCTGAAGCATCTCAGATCAATACAGTTCCTTTGCTTTGCAACGGGGCACCTTCAGTCATTTTAAGAACTGAATCAAATCAGCTTGGCTGCAATTTCAGCAACTGTTCTGCTATCTTCCTGGAAGTGGTATATTCTGTCCCTTTGATACACCTATTTAAACAGTGATTGCCAACCAGAAAAGGGCCTTTATATCTAGCAGTCACATTTTGAAAAAAGTTTTAGAAATCATGTAGAAAATTTTGTCTTCCATAAGAAGGTAATTACTTGTAGTATTTTATTTAGTCACAGAAAAGGTGCTAAAGTTTGATTATCCTCATTTGCCACAAAAGACAGCTCTGTCTCCATAAGTAGTTAAGATGTCACCATTTCTGAGTAGACCATTTCTAATATATGCTTTACCGTGCTTCAAAAGTTTACCGATTATATTTCATGATATTTATAGTTTTTGTCTATTTTAGACAATTCGGGAATATTGATTAATATTACAAGACTTTATCTACTGGCATTTTTATACCATAGGTGGAAGTTCAATGGAACAGATGTTGACATTGGTATGGACTTCCGCTACAGTGTTGTTGATGGCAGCTTGTTGATAAATAACCCCAATAAGACCCAAGATGCTGGAATGTACCAGTGCATAGCTACAAACTCCTTTGGAACAATTGTAAGCAGAGAAGCAAAGCTTCAGTTTGCTTGTAAGTAGCAATTATATTGCAACACAAATATTTCTTAGAGCTTTTATACATTGTATAAATACAGTTTACACACAGTACCTTCTGAAAAACCACATAATTTGAATGGGGCACGTGATAACTTTACCTTTTATTCATATTTAGAAAATAGTTTATGTGACTAATAAACTATAAACAAGGGAGGAAAAAAGGTATGTTTAATAAGGCTTGAGGTAGTTTGCTTATATGATCATTTGGTTATATGATATTTAAAAAGACATAAATTTACACATGTATTAGAGTTAATACATGATAAATGCATACATGCAACATCTATAAACATTAGACAGAACATCTGTGAAAAGGCAATTGAACTGCCAGCCACCTAGCAGTTGATAAAGAAGTACTTTAATGATTAAATTCTGAGTGGAGATGAAGCTTAGTTTTCAATTCTCTAGTAAATCCTATGATTCTCTGCTTTATTCCCATTCAGTACAAAAATATTTTAAGTTCAGTAATGAAAAGTACAGATAAAGTATTATTCACATTTTATATTTATAAGCCAAATTAGAACATTGAAAAACAAATTACCAGGTCTTAAGTTTGCCACTTAATGAAAATCTTTGCCTACGTGAAGGAAAGTAGAATTTAGAAATAGAGAGTAGAAAATCAAAATCCAGGGGCAGAAGCAGTAAGTACACAATCTATTGCAGACACCTTGAGGATTTCTGTTCAGCAACAGTTTTAAGGGTGTATGTATTTGCATATGATTATGTATTCCCTTGTATAAAGTCTCAACTCATATAGCAGTATGTTAATAGCAAAGGTTTCATAATTACTAAGTCTGTTGGTGGTGTAGAATATTCTCATTAACAAAACCCTCTCTGGGAACAGAATATCAAATATACCTATTATAATATTCAGCACTTAATCTCTTATTGCTTTCTGATGACATTTTTGTAATTGAGAAATGAATTTTCTAGAAATTTTATATATATTGGATTGTGACGCTATCTTGTTTATAAATGTCTCTGGAGACAGTGTTCAGTTTTTTTAGGTAAGCAGAATAATAGGAAGGTTATTCATCTGATTAAGGACCACAGAACTAATGTGTGTATATTTCCTTTGGTTTAATACAAGCTAATATCTATATTCAATTTTTAGTAATGAGAGATGAATCTCTTAGGCTCATTCGACAAAACAATGATGAAATCATAGGTGCTAAGCATAGGGGGAATCTAACTGTTCAATGATTTGTGAATATTCTGTGATTTTTTTTTAACTTACAGAATTTTTTTTAACAACAACAAAAAGGTAGAAGAATACCATTACCAGTAAGTTTACTTTCTAATGTACATTTTAGAAAATAATTTTTAGCTACCCTTCAAGCCTATGTTTTTATAAAAGCACAGGCACATTTTCATCAAAAACAGTATAAAGATGGGATTTTATATTCAAGAATAGTTATTTAAATACAACAGAACAGTTCACCATGAGCACATGTTCCTTGGCTCCTTTGTGATGGTTTTTTTTCTGAAGACAAAAATTTGAAATCCACCTTGCTTACCCTACGTCACCAATGACATAAGCATCTGTCAGACGTTTCCCCTTCCAGACTTGTTGCTGTCAATCATGTCATGCTATACCTGTGAATGTTTTGTTTGTGTGTGTATCTATACACTATGTGCGTAAGAGAAGAGTGCATTGGATCTTCTGGAATGTGGGTCACAGGCAGTTATAAACAGCCATGTGGGTGCTGGGAATGGAACCTGGGTCCTCTGGAAGAGCAGCCAGTGCTCTGAACTGCTGAGTCATCTCTCCAGTATGGACAATTTTCTTGACTGATTCTACATGCCAAAGCTGAATCAAGACCAGGTAAACCAATTAAATAGATCCAGGAAGTCTTGATGAGACCTGATAGGCTAGGGTCAGGTAGTAGGGTAGGAGGGCCTCCCCTATCAGTGGACTAGTGGTGGGACATGGGGTGGAAGAGGGAGGTAGGGTGGGATGGGAAGGAGATGAGGGAGGGGACTACAGCCAGGTTGTAAAGTGAATAAATTATAAATAATAATAATAATAATAATAATAATAATAATAATAATAATAATAATAA